ACGTTGCAGAATCTGCACCGTCCACACCCAACTGATCCCAAGTGTGGTTGTAGGCCAAAAGGTGAACCGTCCCAAGACTGAGGAATCTTCAAGCAAATTGTGTTTTCATTGCGTCCTTTGGACCAAGGACATGCCCACCAGTAACGCTACCACAAAATGGGGCATGCTCGCGAAAACATCGTGTTGACCGGGTAATGTTGACTTCATAGTAATAAATAGCCCGTGAATAATACTATATAAATCTGTTCAAAAAGCCAATAATACATTGCCCTTAAATAAAACTAAATGTTTTCTGGACCCTGATTTTCAGCTGCTTCCAGACCTTGATTCATCCAAGCTGATTCTGAGCTTTCAGCTGATTCCAAAACCGGATTATTTGGTGGTTTCCTTTACAATTCTTTTACATGTCCTTTTGATTGAAAAGCTTTAGCTTTATTGAAGGCCATCCTTCCTGGATTTCTGATTTGGCTGCTGCATATTCCTTTTACAACTTCTTATTTGGGCATTGCCATTTGTAACCTGAAATCAACCCACAAAGACCACCCCCCACAAGCAGCCCAAACCAAAAAAAAAACAATCCCTGGCTGGTTCTTTTCGTGGTTTTTACAATTCCTTTAGGTTTCCTTTTGGTTGAAAAGCTTTAGCTTTATTGAGGTTCAGCCCTTTAACAGTTCCTTCAGCACTACTTACATTGATTGCTTTCATTTCCTTTCCTTTCCTTTCATTGTCCTCAAGTTCCTTTCCTTTCCTTTCATGTTCCTTTCATTTCTTTCCCTTTCCTTTAATTTCCTTTCCTTTCATTTCCAAGTCACATCAAGATTTTCTATGATTTTTCTGGATTCACATTATCTGGGGTCCGCACTTGATCAAGCGGGGTTATTTTTAGGAGGTGGACATTATCACTGTCACAGATCTCGAGCAAGGTCTTGATCGATGATGATAGATGCTACTGCTATTGTTTGTTTTCCCGGTTTCCTCTTCAATTTGAGGTGGGCACTGTAGGACGAGACCAAACGCGCAGCGACCCACGGGCAGGCGGACACGAAACTGCTGTGAGGAGAACCATGACGGCCCGGTTTGCAAAGGGCGTTCGTTTGTAAGGAATGGCATCGCCCAAGGAAGGAGGGGAAGTTGCACGAGCTCAGCTTCGAATGGCGTCAGTGGAAACATTTGTTGATGGGGTCTTTGCTCTTTGCACGATTTAAGTGGGAGTTCACCACTAGATTCGTGCAGCTTCACTTGGAACTTCTTGGAACGATGCACTTCATGAACGGGGGGGAGTTCTGGGCAATACATGCAGAAGCCCGATCGCTGTTGAAGGAAATCTATGAACCTAGATGTTATCCGAGACTAGCAGAATAATTAGAACAAGATTTGTCGAGGGCCACCTGTCGTTGAAAAGATGAAGGAGGCGTTGTCCTCCTTTTGCTTTACTCCGGGAGAAGCTAACTACATCTCGCAACCTTTGTTGTGGATTTCGTCCACCCACCAACCTTGACAAAGCTCGCAAGGCATAAAAGAGGGAGACTGTTCGCTGTGACCCGTTTGGATGCCAACAGCTGATGTCATGACCAAGTCAACACCCTTGTCATCTATCTGCATGACCTCCACACACAGGAGCACTTGTGGGAACCCAATCAGCTCCAGTCCTGAGTTGGCGTTTTGGGTTCCCTTGGCCTTTGGGAAGTCTTCGTTGCCTTGACTGTTTTGCCTCTACGGGTAGAAGGAGCAGAAGCACCGCATAGCATGTGACCATGGGACATCAAGCCAACAGCGGTTGTAAAGAGACTTGCAGAATGCAACCACAGAGTTCAGCAACACGTCTACCAACCGTAGACTATGGATGGTTTGGAAGACCAGGAAAGGCTTCCAACCATATTATCCAACTAGGAACATCATCCATTTCTCAAGCTTTAGCCTTTGTACCCCCGCGGAGCCCACCGAACACTCCACCGATCACCGAGCACGCAACAAACCACGACTGATCCCGCAAGAAAAAGCATCCGCCAAAGTTGCGGACATCAATCGTGCTTGATGCGCATCCCGTTGGAATGGCACAGGATCAAAGAAGAGGTGGGCCCGTGGGTGGCAACGGGGTGCTTTGCTGCTTCGGTTGGGGCTTGAGCTCATCCAACTCGAATCAGTTGAGACGTTTTGTGCCAATTCAGGAGGTACGCCCTGGAAGATCAATGTGGAACCTGAAAACCACTGGTTTGTGGAGGAAGCTAGTCTTCCAAGGTGTATTTTCAGGTTCCATGTGAAGCCTCCCGCTTGTAGATACCAAAAGTTCCGCCAGAGACGTAGCTTCCTGAGTAGCTCAGCCTAGCAAAGTGGTGGCCAGCGTTCCGAAATGTTCCGAAGGTTATTTTGCTTTACATGCCCACATGGGTCCCAAAACCTTCACCGCGAAGTAAGTAAAAGGATGGACAAGGGTCAAATGGACAAATAGAATGTTTGGCTCCTTTTGCTATAAGGGCGGAGGCCATCGCTAGTAGGTTGGAGGCCATCGCTTGTAGGTTGGAGGTCATCGCTTGTAGG